ATTTAATTGTGCAAGATTTTTGCTGTTTGCTAAATATGCTTGTCTAATTAAAACTGGACTGGAGTGGTTCGGAAACTGATTTCACATGGGTCCTGATTAAGTAGGTTAGGTGGCTTTTATTTAGCTGAATAGTAGCACTGTTGTCCCTCTTGAATCACAATGGTATTTACAAGCGTCCATACTGACCTTGTAATCCATGCTCAGACATAAGGTGAGATATTGATCCGTGACTGTCTTTCTTTTCCTTGCTGCATGTGGCACTGGGCTAAATGTGCCATTCTCTAGTCCTGTTTCTCATTGATCTGTGGGAACTTACTCTGGGCAAATTTTGCTTAAAATAGATTTTAAGTGCATACATTTTTTAGTCTTTTGTGATGCAAGTGCACTTATTGCTAATTTGTCGTATGTGCTTTTGGGTGTGGCAGGATTTGTCAACTCTTCCTGATATTGGATCTAGCATGTCACAGGATGCAGCTGATCTTTATAGCATCTTCTATCATTTTGAACATGTCTGAAATTGTTCCATGCCCCACTGATTATATCCTTGGTCTTTATCTGCACTAAAGCTAATTTTAAAGATTTAGTTTTAAAAGTGCTGCTGGATCTTGATTGTATTGTTCAGCAGCAAGAAATATAATGACTGTCCACAAAATCTGACTTCTGGTGAATAGAAGAGTGAATTTTACATGTGAAGTGAAAGAAAACTGTTGGAAATCTTGTGCTACAAATAGATGCTCAGTCTTCACATGAGGGGATCTGTGTAGCATTTTTATCTGAATATTATCAGTTTTTGTGCTTCAGCAAATTGGCACTAAATCTTAAGAGTCTGTATTTGAAAGCCAATATTTTATCAATGCTTTTGTTCACACAAGGCTGTTCAAATCTATTCAAACTAGCTGTGTGCATGAGCCATCTAACATAGATGCAGTTGGGAAGGTTTAACTTAATATTTGCAGTTCAGTTGGTCTGGAAGATTAAAACTGCCCTCACCCCCCCCCAAACCCCCCTTCCCTATTAAATTGGAAAATGTGTATCAAGTATATTTGAAGTTGCTGCTGAATGCTATCAAGTTTACTTCACCATTACAAAATTGGCCTTAACCAATAACATTCACCTCTTCATATCAAATTGCATAACCTCATTTTCCCACATTATTTTCCCACATTATATTCCATGTGCCAAACTTCTACCCATTCACTTAACCTTTTTCTGTATTCTCCTGTACTGTCATACACAAACTTGGCTGTAGTACATTCACTTTTCTCATCCAAATCATTTAATGTCTATTTTTAAAAATTGAGGTAGACCTGATCCCTGTGGCACATCACACACTAGTTATAGATTCCCATCCTGGAAATGTCCCCCTTGTCACAACTGTTTTCTGTTAGTTCGTATAGAGGATAGGCTATCTCTTAACACCTGAGCACCTTATTGAATGCCCTCTGAAAATCCAAGTATACTGCAACCATTTCCAAAGAGTTCCTGTAAATTTTAGACAGGCATGATTTCCCTTTTATTAAAGCATGCTGATTGATTTATACCATGCATTGCTAAATGTTCTGCTATTATTATTTATAATAGATTCTCTAGCATTTCCGGTGGCTCAGTGGTTAGCACTGCTGCCTCACAGTGCCAGGGACCCGGGTTCGATTTCAGCCTCGAGCGACTGTGTGGAGTTTGCACATTCTCCGTGTCGGTGTGGGTTTCCTCCGGGTGCTCCGGTTTCCTCCGACAGTCCAGAGATGTGCAGGGTAGGTGGATTGGCCTTGCTAAATTGCCCATAGTGCCCAGGGATGTTTAGATTAGGTGGGTTAGACAAGGGAAATGCAGGGGATGGGGAATGGGTCTGGGCAGGAGGGGCTGTGTGGACTTGTTGGGCCGAATGACCTGTTTCCACACTAGAGGCTAGCTGTGTTCTGTGGTCACGTTTGTTGTTTTTTGTCTCCAATCTTTTTTCATGTAAGGTTTTAAATTGACATTTTTTTTCAATCCTCTGACACACTTCCAGACTCTGATTTGTAGAAAATTACCACTAGTGCATCCACTATCTGTAGCTACTTCCTTTTTAATATCTTAGGATGTATTCCATCAGGTCCAGGGGCCAACTGGTTTTTAGTCCTGTTATTTTCCTTAGTACTTTTTTTTAAACTAATGGTAGTTATTGTGTTTATTTCCTGTCCTTTTTGTCCCTTTTTAATATTCAGTTATTTTGGGATGCTTTGCTTATTTATTGTGAAGACCGATATAAAGTATTTTTTCAGTTGTTCCCCAATTTCCTGGTTCCCCATGATTTCCCCAGCCTGTGTTTACTTTGGCCTCATATATTTTTAAAAGAACCTCTTGCAAGTAATGTCAAGACTGATAGCGAGTTTTACCCTCGGTTTTTATTTTCTCCCTTTGTAGTTGCTCTTTGCTGGTGAAGAAAACTTTTGCAATCCTTTATCTTACCACGAATCCTTGCCACAATATGTATGTTTTTTTTCTTTCAATGTTGCTATAATTCCCTGATTAGCTATGGTCAGTTTATTTCCTTCCGAGAATCCTTCCTTACTGGCATATGTCTTTCCTGTAAGGCATGAATTTTTTTTCTTTAAGTTTGTCATTGCTCCTTATCTGTCTTTGCTGCTAAACTCCTCCCCCCCCCCCCCCCGTCCATTCCAGGTAGTTCTGCCCTCCTTCCTTTTTATAATCGCCCTTTAAGCTGAGCACAATTGTTTCTGACCTAGGTTCCACTTCCTCTACCCCACCTCAACCCCAACTTAAAAACTTGGCATTTGCAGAACATTTTGAGTCTAAAATTTGTTCAAAACAGGAACCAAAGTGTTTACAGGTGATGGGTTGCTCTGGGGTCCCATAGGACTCAGCACTAGGTTTCCTGCTTTGTGATACCAATGTTTTCAGACTCGCTGGGAGGAAATATGATTTAAGAAGTTAATAATTGCCAATTTTGTTACGTGGCTGCTTATGAAGAAAACTGGATTTCAAAGATTAGTATATACTGGCATGGTGGGGAGTGTGGTTTAACAGTTCAAATGGAGTTTAATCATGAGGTGGGAGTTGATGACTTGGAAGTTTAACAAGGAAAGAGAATGCACAAATAATGGTAGGATACTATGAAGTATAGAGGAGCAGAAACTTAAAGGGATCCTTGAAGGTGACAGATGCTCAAGAAGGCATATGGGCCTTTGTTAACTCGGGCGTAGAATGCACTGATAGAAGTTATCCTGGTACTGTAGGAAAGACTAGTTAGGCCACTGTTAGTGTTGTGTGCAGTTCCAGTTGTCATGTTAAAAGTATGACAGTATACAAGGTTACAAGGATGCGTAATGCTAGTTATAAGGGAAGATTGCATAGGCTAATGTGTTTTCTTTGATCTCTAACAAATGGTTGTGCGCTAAAACCTGGCAAGTTTTTCAACCAATGTGTACTCAAAGGATTGAATCCTCTTCCACATTTGTGCATTTATAAAGTTTGTGTTCCTACTAATCTGCATATTATCTCCTCTTGTTTGCAGAACTTGCTGTGGTCTTCAGCAAAACGTAATACTGTCAAAGCTGCATTTGTTTCTCTAACTCTGGATGTCTTTCAAAAAGCAGTGCTGAACACCTTAACATCTCTAAGGAACCACAGTAAATGCAGATGGGGAATTCTAGGAATCTGGCAATGGTGAATGAAGGGTGAAGTGTACACGACAACATAGTGTGACTCATCACCTCAATATTCTGCTCTTGATCCCATGCTATTTACGCATGAATGGAGCAACAGTGGAAAAACAAAGAGCTAACATTGCCAACTGAACACCTGTCTTACCCTGGTAGACCTCCAAAAACAATTGCCCATAATTTCTTGATAGGTATGTGGCCAGGTTTCGATCACATGTCAAGCTACAAGGGCTGCCATCACCTTGCTGCTGAAGCCCCTGAAATGTATGCTGTTCACCTGTTGTGCTGCTGAGGGCTTTTTATTTAAAACCAAACTTTAGCACCTCTCCCTAACTTTGTCTCCTATGGGTGGTCTCACCAAGAGCGAGGAGCTGCTGACAAAATCACTAGTCAGCGTAATCAACACTATATCAAGCTAGTGATCATCCGGGGGAGGGGCTGAAGAAATCTAATAATCCTTTTAAGTATTTCTGTAGATGACTTGTCCTTTGAGAGAGCTATTGCAAGATTAGTATTAGTAATTCAACTGATTTCAAAGTGTAGTACAGTGTATAGTTGAAGAATTTGATTTCAAAACGAAATTCATTCAATAAAAAGATCTTTGTATACATCAATAGTCACTCGATCAATTTGAATCTGTCATGGAGGCATAGCCTCAAAATAAGGAGAAGCAGATTTAGGACTGAGTTGAACAGGAACTTCTGCACCCAAAAGGGTTGCCGATCTGTGGAATTCCCTGCTCAGTGAAGCAATTGAGGCTACCTGGTTGAATGTTTTTAAGGCAACGATAGATTTTTGAACAGTAAAGGAATTAAAAGTTATGGTGAGCGGGTGAGTGGAGCTGAGACCATGAAAAGATCAGCCATGATCTTAATGAATGGCGGAGCAGTTTCGATGGTTCAGAATGGCCCACTCCTGCTATTTCTTATGTTCTGTACACAATGTTTACATATGTAGAACAAACAAACCCAAGGCATTTCTTTCTTGTGCAAGACTATGCTTACATACACTCGAGGCACGTGGAGGCTCTGATAACTGGACAGGCCCCTATTGTATAGGTGGCTGTGTAGATATGGAGCTACCTGCAGCGAATGCTAAATACACTTTTCATTTCCAGGAGTTGGCTAGTGCCAATAACCTGATTTTTCCTACCGTTATTAGGAATGTGAATGCAGCATATTGGAGAATATAGAATAGGGCGTTTAATGCGAGCGAGACATTAATTCCGAAATAACTTGCCCTCGATGTAAACGGATAGGGGATCAGTTGCTTCTGCAAAGTCTCCTGGGAGAGGGATAGAAACACCGTGTTCCTTAGCAACCAGTTGTAGACAAGGGCAATGAGAGAAACTTGCGTCGTGTTTTATACGGCTGTTGGACTCACCGGCGCAATTAACAAGTGTAAAAGTCATTTTAGGATTCTCATTTTCTTGCTGCCGTTGCAGAGTTGCCCCCCGCCCCAGTCGTGCGGTTTGTAAGAGTTTTGTCCAGCGGGCACTGAACAATGGATAACGTGCAGGCTGCTGCAGCGATCGATGTGAAGAGCACACTCGCTCTCATCAAACCCGACGCCATCGAGAACGCCAACGAAATTGAAGATATCATTCTGCGATCTGGGTTCACCATTCTTCAGGTACATTGTGTGGTTTGTCCTGGGCATTGCCAGTCAATGCAACTTTTACAGACCCACACACGACACGTAGAATTCTGGGTGTGAATGTTTTACACTCAATACAACTCTTATTTAAGAGGGCTTAGGGGAGAGAGGTCTTTTCTCGTTTTTTTTGCTTTTAAAAAAAGTTGAGTTCAGTTTATCATTCGCAGTTTTGTCTCACCGTTTAATTTGTAGGTGCCGTTAAATATCAAAACTATAGAGAGACCTACTGTAAAGGGCAAGAAATGGACAAATTTTGCTGCAATGTTTTTTTCTCTCTGAAATCTTTTGGCAAACACCACAAAGCAGGATAATTAGCGGAGGCGGCGATAAATTGATTTTCACCCTAGAGTGAAATACCACCGCAGTAACCCAAGTTAGTTCTTAATAGGACCGTGGCTGTTTTAGGTATAAAGATCAAGATACAGAAGACGGAGAGAGACGAACAGTACGAAAGGAGAGTTCAGAAATAGGTATCAGACACTCCGTAAATCTGAGGCAGAGTAATGTGGGTTTGGACTGCATGTACTTGAATACATGCAGTGTGGTAAGATAAGCCTGAAGGGATGCAAACGCAAGTAGTTAGAAATAGATGTGGTCTATTTGGTCTCTCAAGTATATTTCATCATCCAGTAAGACAGTTGGTGTTCTGCTTGTCTTTCTAATTTCACATTTCCCCTTCATCCAGAACCCGAGATTCACATCAAGCAATGAGATCAATCTACCTATATCTTAAAAATCATCTGAGGCAGAAAATTCCAAATTGTCTCAAAAATCTCCTTTATCTCTATCCTAAAAGGCAACACAACTTTTAAACTTAGCCCCTACTTCTGCACACATTCATAAGAGAAAAATCTTTTTCATATCCACTTTGTCAAGACAATTCAAGATCTTACAGACTTCAATAAAATCACCCCTCACTCTTCTAAACTCCAGTCAAATCCAGCTCAGACTATCTAACCTTTCCTCATAAGACAGCTTGCTCATTCCAAGTATCAATCCAGTAATTTTTTCTGAACTGTCATCAACACATTTACATTCTTCCTCAAATAAGAAAACCAAAACTGTACTCTAGATGTGGTCTCTCTAGTGCCCTGTATAACAGAAGCATAGCATCTTTAATTTTAATGTTCAATTACTCTCCTAAATTGGATACTATTCCTTTAGCTGCCTTGATTATTTGCTGAACTTGCATACTAGCTTTCAGTGACTCATGCACTAGAACGCACTTAGATCACTCTACACCTTGAAATTCCACAATTATTCTGTTTAAGTAATACGCAGCTTTTAAATTCTTTCCCCCAACATGCACAACTTCACATTTTCTCATATTGTACTCCATCTGCCAGATTTTTGTTCATTCTCTCAACCAACCAACTATATCCATTTGCAACATCCTTATGCCCTCTTCACAAAATGCTCTTCTACCTGTCTTTGTGTCATCTGAAAATTTAACAACCATGCATTTGCTCCCTGCCTCTAAGTCATTGATGTAAAAGGTAAAAAGCTAACGACTAAGCACAGGCCTCTGGGAATCTGTTCATCATGTCCTGCCAATCAGGAAAAGACCAAGTTGTGTATATTGTGGCTGATTTGTTTTCTGCCAATCTTACATCCATGTTAAGATGTTAACCTCTACACCATACTTTATGTTGAATCTTGTCAAATGACTTCTGGAAATCCAAGTACTGTATGTCAATGGCCTTTTGTTAACCCACATCACATACTACTCCATTAAAAAACTTCAGTATTAGTTAAACACAATTTCTCTTCCACAAAACAATGCTGCTTTTTCCTTATTTCCCGAAGGTTTTTCAATGTGTCTACCAAAGACCATCTCGATGAACGATACTAACACCTTCTCCACAATAAACCTCAAGCTAGCAGATCTATTGTTTCCTGTTTCTTACATCCCTCCCATCTTGATTAAAACGGTTACATTTACTATTTTCCAGTCTGATGGGACCTTTCTTAGAATTTAATAAATTGAAAATTTAACACCAACACATCTACTACCTCATTAGCCACTTCCTCTTCGAAACTTAGGATGAAGTCCATCAGGAACTGGGGACATGTCAACTGTAGATCCAACAGTTTACTTAGCATCACCTCCCTAGTGATTGTAATTTTTTCTGTTCTACTCTCCCTTCTACCTCCTGACTTACAGCTATTACTGGAATGTTTTTGTATTCCCTACAGTGAAGACAGAAGCAAAATGTTTGTGCATTTCATCAGCCATTTCCTTATTATTTACTATTAACTCCAAATTCTCATTCTCTAGATGACTACCATTCACTTTACTCTTTTTCTTTTCTAGATAAGTGAAACAGTAGAACTCAGGGGAGATGGTGCTGTCGTGGTGATGCCACTGGATTAGTGACCCAAAGGCCCAAGCTACTTTTCTAAGGGCATCAGTTCAAACCCCACCATAGCAAATGGTGAAGCTTGAAAATTCAATAAAATCTGAATTAAAAGCTTGTCTACTGATAGCCACATATCAGTTATCATAAAAAAAACCCATCTGGTTCACTCCTGTACTGAGAAAATCTGCTTTTGGGGGAAGCACGGTGGCTCAGTGGTTAGCACTGCAGCCTCACAGCACCAGGGATGCAGGTTCGATTCCAGCCTCAGGCAACTGTCTGTGTAGAGTTTGCACATTCTCCCTATGTTTGCGTGGGTTTCCTCCGGGTGCTCCAGTTTCGTCCCACAGTCCAAAGATGTGCAGGCTAGGTGGATTGGCCATGCTAAATTGCCCGTAGTGTTCAGGGGTGTGTGGGCTATAGGGGGATGGGTCTGGGTGGGATGCTTCAAGGGTCGGTGTGGACTTGTTGGGCCGAAGGGCCTGTTTCCACATTGTAGGGGTTCTATGATGATTCATGTAATCCCTTTTTACAATTCTAATTAGTATCTTCTCATACCCTTTTTCCTCTTGATTAATCTCTTGGTCATTCTCTAGCATTCTTCATATTTTATCCAATCATCTGACCTGTTACTGTTCTTTGAGCCTTCTCCTTAAATTATGCTTTCCTTAACCATGGTTGATGGGTCCTCCCCTTAGAATGCTTCTTTCTGGGTATTCTGAAATATCTCAATGAATGTCTGCCATTGTTTCTGAACTGAAAAATCCCCTACTCAAGTATCCCTTTTTCAGTCTCGTTTGCTCAGCATTCATGTCCATATAATTGCTGTTATGTAATTTGAAAGTAATAGACTTAGATATGATCTTCTCCCTGTCAAACTGGATGTAAAATCATGTTACAGTCTCTGCTACCTACAGTCTCTACCTTTACCGTAAAATCTTCTATTAATCCTGTCACATCACACAATATCAATCCAACATAATATAGTGAGAATGATGAACATAACTCAAAGAAGGGGAATATTGTGAACTTAATATTTCTTGCTATGATGTATTCAGGAAAGATATAAAAGAAAAGGAGAGCAGCAGAATTGATCAACTAAATATGATTGATGAGTGATGTTGTTGAAGGCCAAAGACTGGATTTATTTGTTTAGAATTAAGGAACGGTAGAGGAGTTAGTACAATAATGGCTTCATATTTTATGTCACAAAAGAGTGGGAAAGAGATACTGGGAAAATTTGCAGGCTAAATACTGAGAGATGCAAGAGTTATAGAGTAGCAAGGTGAGTGCCAATTACTCCAAAATAGACTGGGACAGAGGCAGTGAAAGGGTAAAGATGGAGAAAAATTCTTTAAAATGTGTAATAGAAAACTTTCTTCATCTACATGTTTCTATCCCAATGAGGAAGGAAGAATTGTTATATCTAAATTTTGGTGTAGTGCAGAATTGAACATGTTTCAGGGGAAACTTTTGGGAACAATGATCTGAATGTGAGAGTTAGGTCCTTTTCCTTTCCCATAATTCTGATGAAGAGTCACTGGATTCGTAGTGTTACCTCTGTATTCTCCCCACAGATGCTGACAGACCTGATGAGTTTCTCCAACACTTTTTGTTTTTGTACAAAATGAGATTTGATTGGCAACAAGTAGTCAATCAAATGATTTGATATGTGGAATTATAACCAGATGTCAATTACAAAAGCCTTTCCTCTGCAGCAGGAAACACCTAAAGCCTGAAAAAGAAGTTTAGTTTCCCTTTCTCAATTGCCATAAGCTATTGCTGGTAACCAATAAGTCAGAGACATTATAAGTTATGAATCAGTTGCTCTATACCTCCTGTAAGCTAGTGAAAGTACCTGGAGAAAAGAGATTGAGGAGCAAGAAGTCCTGACATGCCAAAAGGATCATCTTCGTTAGCCCTGTGGACAAGGACAATTAAACTGTTTTCCCAGTCTTTCCTCTATCCATTACACAATACTTTTTGTCTGTTCATCTGCATATGCATGTATAGGGAGATTTATCAGAAGGATAGTCGTTTTAACTAGTAAACTTAAATGTTAACTGTTCAGAGTTGTTGACCTATAGCCAGAGTCTATTTATTTACAATAATCAGTAATTCATGTTAACTCCAGAGATCTGGTTCATGCTGTCTGTTAACCTGGGTCTACTTTAGTAAAATCTTTAACATTTGTGACAACTCCAGGCATAGCAGGACATGATTCGTAGTGCATTTACCCTAGTGAGTTGTCACAAAATATAAGGAAAGCATCCAGGCTTGCTGAATGTCTAAAGCTATATTGCTTTAAATGAACAAGAAAAGGCTGGCTTATGACAAATACCTGTATCATTTTCATTTTATCTTAGAGAACCAAACTGAATAGATAATACTCAGAGGAAATACACAAAGGAAATAAGGGGTACAGAAAGTTTTGGAGAATAGAGTCATAGATCATGAAAAACAGACCCTTTGGTCCAACCAGTACAGGCCGAACAGAATCCCAAGCTAAACTAGTCCCACCCACCTGCATTTGGCCCATATTCCTCCAAACCTTTCCTATTCATGTACTTATCCAAATATCTTTTAAACATTGTAACTGTACCTGCACCCACCACTTCCTCAGGAAATTCATTCTACATGTGAACCACCCTCTGTGTAAAAAAATTTGGCCCTCATGTCTTGTTTAAATCTCTCTCCTCTCACCTTAAAAATATGCCCCCTAGTCTTGAAATTTCCCATTCTAGGGCAAAGACAAATACCATTGACTCTGTCTATACCCCTCACTATTTTATAAACTTCTATCAGGTCACCTCTCAACATCCTATACTCCAGTGGAGAAAGTCTCAGACTATCCAGCTTTCTTTATAACTCAAACCTTCCATACCCAGCAAAATCCTAGCAAATGTCTTCAAAACCCTCTCCAGATTAATAATATCTTTCCTATAACTGGGTGACTAGAGCTAGACAAAATATGATTGGACCTGTAAAGAGTGTAAAAGCGAAAGAAACTCATCCAGGCAGGTGAGTGATATTGGAGTTTAACTTGTATGAGGTAAATCTGTGACCCACTGTAGTGGACATCCATAATTCCACAAAAGAGGCCTCATCAATGTCCTGTACAACCTCAACATGACTTCCCAAATACTATACTCAAAGGACTGAGCAATGAAGACAAGCATGCCAAATACCTTTTTAACCATTTGGAGATAGCAAGAACTGCAGATGCTGGAGTCAGAGACCACACAGTGTAGAGCTGGAGGAACACAGCAGGCCAGGCAGGATCAGAGGAGCAGGAAAGTTAACGTTTCATGTTGAACTTTCTTCAGAAATGGGGAGGGGGAAGAGAGCTGGGAAATAAATAGAGAGAGCAGGGGTAAGGCTGGGGAGATGAGGTGGGATGGTGATATGTGAATGCAGATAGAGAGTGGTAGGGGGTAGTAGCAACTGCCGATGCTGGAGAATCTGAGATAACAAGGTGTAGAGCTGGATGAACACAGCAGGCCAAGCAGCATCAGAGGAGCAGGAAGGCTGACGTTTCGGACCCTTCTTCAGAAATTTCTCGGAGAGTGGTAGGGGGTGGTCAGTGGGATGGGTGGGGCAGATAGGTGGGAGAGAAGATGGATAGGTTGTGTCGGATCAAGGAAGTGGGGATGAGAGGGAAGGTTGGACATGGGATGAGGCCGGGGTGGGGAGATTTTAAAACTGGTCAATTCTATGATTAGATCATCTGGCTGAAGGCTCCCGAGGCGGAATCTGAGGTGCTGCTCCTCCAGTTTGCCGGTGGTGTCATTGTGGCACTGGAGGAGGCCCAGGATGGACACATCACCCAGGGAGTGGGAGTTAAAATGGTTGGTGACCGGAAGGTGTTGTCGATGATTGTGTACAGAGCACAGATGCTCTACAAAATGGTCCCCGATTCTGCACTTGGTCTCACTGATGTAGAGGAGGACACATCGGGAGCAATGGATACAGTAGACCAAGTTGGAGGATGTACAGGTGAACCAGTGTCGGATATGAAAGGTTTGCTTTTTGCCTTGAATGGAAGTGAGGAGGGTGGTGTAGGGGCAGGTGTCACATTTCCTGCTGTTGCAGGGAAAGGTGCCGGGGATAGTGGGGAATGTGGAGTGGATGAGGGAGTCGCGGATAGAGTGATTCCTACAGAAGGCAACTTCTCCTTTAACTCCTCCTACTTCCTACAGACTAACAGGGTGGCCATGGGCACCTACATGGGTCCTAGCTATGCCTGCCTCTTCATAGGATACGTGGAACAGTACCTTTTCTACTGTTACACTGACACCATCCCCCACCTCTTCCTCCTCTGCAATGATGATTGTATTGGTATTGCCTTGTGTTCCCATGAGGAGCTTGAGCAGTTACCAACTTTACTAACAACTTTCATCCCAACCTCAAATTCACCTGGATCATCTCTGATACCTCCGTCCCCTTCCTGGAACTCTCTGTCTCCACCTCTGGTAACTGCCTCAATCCTGATATCTATTTCAAGCCCACTGACTCCCATAGCTACCTGGACTACACCTCCTCTCACCCAGCCTCCTGCAAGAATGCGATCCCTTACTCCCAATTCCTCTGCCTACGCTGCATCTGCTCCCAAGACAGAGCGTTCCATTTCTGGACATCCCAGATGTCCTCCTATTTCAAGGACCGTAACTTCCCCCCTCCGGTGACCAAAAATGCCCTTAACCCCATCTCTTGCATTTCCTGCACTTCTGCCCTCAAACCCCCTCCCCCCAACAAAAATAAAGACAGAGACCCCTGGTCCTCTCATATCACTCCACCAACCTCCGCATCCAATGTATCATTCTCTGCCACTTCCACCACCTACAATTCGACCCCAAGACCAAAGAGATTTTTCCCTCCCCACCTACCTGCCTTTCGTAGGGACCGTTCTCTCTGCGACTCCCTTGTCCGCTCCACACCCCCCACTAACCCCACCACCCCGGCCCCTTTCCCTGTAACTGCAGGACGTGCGACACCGGCCCCTACACCTCCCCCCTTACCTCTATTCAAGGCAAAAAGCAAACTTTTCATATCCGGTAGGGGTTCACCTGCACACACTCCAACTTGCTCTATTGTATCCATTGCTCCCTCTACGTTGGTGAGACCAAGAGTAGACTTGGAGACCGTTTTGTAGAACACCTGTGCTCTGTACATGACAAATGACAACAACCTTCTGATCACCAACCATTTTAATTCCCCCTCCCACTCCCTGGGTGACGTGTCCGTCCTGGGCCTCCTCCAGTGTCACAATGACACCACCTGCAAACTGGAGGAGCAACACCTCATATTCCACCTTGGGAGCCTACAGCCCGATGGCCTAAACATAGAATTCACCAGTTTTAAAATCTCCCCACTCCCGGTCTCAGGCCCACCTCCTTGCCTGGACACAACCTGTTCTTCTTCCCCACCTATCCACCCCACCCTCCCCTCTGACCAATCCCCACTACCCCCTACCTGCATCCAACCTATCACCACCCCACCTACCTTTCCCCAGCCCCACCCATCCCCCTTCCCATCTACTTGACCTGACACAACCTGTCCATCTTCTCTGCAACCTATCCATCCCACCCATCCCACTGACCAACCCCCACCACATTCTACCTGCATTCACCTATCATCATCCCACCTACCTTTCCCAGCGCCCCCCTTCCTTTCTCTATTTATTTCCCAGCTCCCTTCCCCCTCCTCATTTCTGAAGAAGAGTCCCAACCTGAAACGTCAACTTTCCTGTTCCTCTGATGCTGCCTGGCCTGCTGTGTTCCTCCAGCTCCACACTGTGTTGCCTTTTTAACTACCCTGTCTACATATGACGCAAACTTCAATGAATTATGTACCTGCACCCCTAGGTCCCTCTATTCTACAATACTATCCAAGGGCCTACTATTAATTGTATCAGCCCTACCTTTTTTTAATAGATTAGCATAAGATGTAAAAATTGACACAAAAATCTTTTATAAAGACCTAAAATAAAATTAGTGTAGGATTTTTTGGGAACCAGAAAGGTAATTGTCTCCTTCTTTGATAGAGATAAGAAACAATTTTGGTAGGAAGGATTTATAGTACAGGGCCGTACATAATAGTTGCAGTTGGGCAGAATATAAATCGGGAAACCAGCTGCATGGTGCTTGGAATAGAGAAAGACAACTGTTGAAACCTCGACTTGAAATACTCAGAAGAAAATAACTATCATTAGGACCAGTCAATAAAACCTTCATTATGGCATAGGTTGAAGGACATTAGCTTGTTCAACGTTTACTGCCTAGGGAAATAGGATTAAACCCAACTTATTAGAAATTGAGAAATGTGCTGGTGGTGGATTTTTTTACTTGTTTTAAGTAGTATGTTTTGGTTTGAGATGTCAAGAATTATTAAGTTAAATTTAAGGTAGATGAGTTCCTGTTTGACATTGATTCAAGATCAGGAGAAACCTGTTTTGCTACAAACACATCTCAAACTTGCTTCTTGCCAGTAGTTATCTTATTGAATTAAAAACAGCACTCACTTATTTAGTCATCAATTCACGTTTTTAAAATATGTATGATATTGCCTGAACTTTCTTTTCTCATTACAGAAAAGGAAAGTATATTTGAGTCCAGAGCTGTGCAGTGAAATTTATGCTGCACATTATGGAAAAATATTCTTTCCCAGTTTAACAGCATTCATGAGTTCAGGACCAACAATTGCCATGGTTATTGCCAGAAATCAAGCTGTAGCATTCTGGAGGGAGTTGATTGGACCTGCAAATAGTGTAAAAGCTAAAGAAACTCATCCGGGCAGGTGAGTGATCTTGAAGTGTAGCTTGTACGTGATAAATCTGTGGCCCGCTGTAGTGGACATCCTTAGTTCCACAATGATTGAGCACTTGTGCAGTGTAGGTGGGTGGGGTGTTGGTTTATCTAATCCAGTCAGGGAAAAGTGAATTATATAATTGATATGATCCTGTTAATGTCCGACTGTGTGGAAGATAGGCTTAGATTCTTTATCCCCAACAACAGTTTTGAAATCTGAGCACAGAGTGGGCTAAATGTAATTTTTTCAGTTGCAGATGATGTTTGGGTCTCTTCAATGATAAATTCAATAAGTTATAAATCAAAAGCTTTTGTCATTAGGAGCTGAAAGCTTTTTTAGTTACATTTGAGCAGCTTTGATAAATTCTTTAACATTTAAAATGCTGAATATAGTTTCTGTTTAAAAAATATTGTCATTAGTACTGCAGTTTTATATGTTAAAAAAGCAAAAAAAAAAGACACATTTGACCTGCTATATCAATGTCTGCCTGTTCCAGTATAAGAGCAATATATGGGACGGATGAGCTTAGGAATGCCGTGCATGGTAGCGAGACCTCTTCTGCAGCAGAGAGGGAAATACGGTTAATTTTTCCTAACAGTAAGTCTTTAATGTGGTGAGGCTATTCTTAATTTCAATGCTAATCTTGATTTTATTTTGATATATGTAATAGCAAACGTTGTCACATTTTTTATGTTTTATCTCTTGGTGCCAAAATGACAAGCAAAATAACCCAAATGGGTTTCATTTGAATAAGATGTTATGGAGAGCTGTATTGACATACTTTTCTAAAAGTGGTAAGAAATTGAATGTTTCATGAAAATGTGTAGAACTTCCCTGCAATAAATTAAAGCCCTGGCCATTCAGCAAAAAGAAACACACTCTGGTTTCTGGGATCTGTCATTAATGTTAGTGTAAACTCTGCATAAATGAATGAATGGGCTATTTAAATTTGTGTGTAACCTTTCAAAATACATTTCAGCCCACAAATTTTAGCACTATACTGGATGACAAACAGGAAAAAGAAATCCAGTGCATTGGTCTTTCAGGTCACTATCAAATAACTTCATTTTGTCACATCTCATGGGGGTAGCACATTGGAAATCAACATCCACTGTTCCCAAGGTCATCACAAAGGTTAAAGTTTTTCAAAGAAATACACAACATCCCCAAACTACCTGATTTTCAGACCTAGGTTGATTGAAAACACGGACCAGGTTTCCGTTCTAATTATTGCAGGTCATTAGATTCTAGCTGAATGTAAACAATTAAAATAAATTTATTAAACTCTAAAAATTAAAACTTTAAATCCCTTATAAACTCCCCCTTATCCATGGACATAAACAAGGGAAAACAAATACATGGGGTAGAGGGAGAACTGAAAAAAAAAAGTTCCATGGTCTTTGTTCACAAGATCTGTTGGGTTGATTCTTGCTGATCTGAAGGTTTTTCCTCAGCCTTCCTTTTTCCAAACCTTCCATTGGTCTGCAAAAGGTGCAGGGTGGCTGTTTCACTTTTGAAAGATCTATGAATATCACAAGTTGCAGCATTTGCTGAAGGAAAGATGAGCTGGTTTTTGTCAGGTTTAAACTGGTTTCTACAGAGAATTGAGTGGTTTACTTTTTGGTTGCTGGAGACGTGCTGGTTTCTTCTCTTCTGGTCTGACTAATTTCTGTGTCTTGTTCACAGCCTAAGTTGCATAGCTATCTGACAACCAATCACTCGGCAGACAGAGGACTGTTGCTATTGATATCTGGCTACCAGTTCACACCAATCAGCTTCACTTGTAACAACTCCTCAGCTTCGGTATATCTGCACTTTGCAGAAAACTGCAACTTTACAAACAGTTCACACAAGGTAGCAAATTAGGTGCTTTTAATACCTGCAGCCATCCTTGTAAATACCTGGTATTCAGAACATTTCTAACCATAGTTTGCTTAAAAAGCACAAAAATAAAAGGACACAGCTTTTACCTGTCTTTGCCCTTAAGAATACGCAACACCATTTCAAAATGTGTTTCATTACAAAACATGGGATTTACAAGAAGCAAAACACAAGATTTGCATCCATTCATTCTTTATGCACCCTTAGGCAAACATAAGCAATCTTAATATGCACTATACCTTTCACTTATTGTAACATTTTATATTCGGGTCAATGCATCTGCGATTTCGTTCTCTCTTTTGTAGTATGAATAACTTTTACGTTGAATGGTTGTAACAAAAAACTCTATCTAAATAATGTCACTTTCTGATTTTTAAACTTTCCAATGAAGGCTAGTGGATTGTGGTCAGTATAAATTAGTATTTCATTGTTATCATGTCACATATAGACTTCAAAGTATTGAAAAGGTAACCACAATCACCAAAGTTTGTTTCCACGGTATAGTACTGCTTCTGAAACTGATTTGCTGAGCCATCTTAAATTCAATACAGGTTTGCCCAGGCTGATTTCTTAAATTCTGAAAGCCTTCCCTATATGCCTGAGGCAGTAATTCATATGCAGACAATACAGTCTTCTTCACTGTGACAATGAAGCATAAGTTTCCTGTGTTTTGCCTGCCAATTTACTCTGCATAGGCAGTGTCAGTCCTTTTTTTCGCTAAGTTCATTTATCTACCCATTTTCTCAATTGACATGAAGAAAACCTGCACATCCTTTCCCTCAAACATTGGGAGGGCCTGTGCAAACTTAAACATTCTGTGCTGAACCTCAAATTCTGACTCAGGTTCTCCCCACTGGGACCTATTTTAGTATTTAACATCTCCTGCTCCAACTGTATCATTTTAAGCGTATGTTCATGTTTGCTTGCCTTTCCTTTCTCTTTAGCTTCTAATTCTAATCTCATTTCAGTTTTTAGTTTCTTCATTCTTTCATTCTCTCCTAATGCTCCAACCATCTCAGTTCTAACTGAATGTCACCTGATCCAGTGTTCCATTATCCAAAATAGTCTGCCTCCTCTTTATTTCCTCTAAGCTCAAGTTCAGTGCTAGTACTCTAATGATTTCTGCCTTTCTAGCTCTGTCAGGCAATGCCAACTCCAGTTTACTTAGTAGGTTTTGGAAGTTCCTTTAAGATTATAAGGGACAACTCTGCCACCTGCAGGAACTCCTTTGCTATTTCTAGTTCCACGTTTTATATATTCTCTAATCGGCCTGTTCAGCAATGTTATTACACGTAGTTGTACAGCATGGAAACAGACCCTTCGGTCCAACCAATTCATGCTGAACATAATCCCAAACTGGACTAGTCCCACCTACCTGCTCCTGGCCCATATCACGCCAAACCTTTCCTATTCATGTACTTATCCAAATGTCTTTTAATCACTGCAATTGTACCCACATCCACCATTTCCTCAGGAAGTTCATTCCATATGCGAACTACCACCTGTGGAAAAAATTTGCTGCCCATGTCTTTTTTAAATCTCTCTCCTCTCACCCTAATAATGTGTCCCCCCAGTCTTGAAATTCCCCTGTCCTAGGGAAAAGCCAACTGGCGTTGACTCTAACTATATCCCTCATTATTTTATAAACTTCCATAAGGTCGTCTTTCAACTTCCTACATTCCAGTGAAAGAAGTCCCAGCCTATCCAACCTTTCTTTATAACTCAAACGTTCCACACCCGGCAACATCCTAGTAAATCTCTTTTGAACCATCTCCAGCTTAATAATATCCTTCCTATAACTGGGCGACCAGAACTGGACACAGTATTCCAGAAGAGGTCTCATCAATGTCCTGTACAACTTCAACATGATTTCCCAACCACTATATTCAAAAGTCTGAGCAATGAAGGTGAGCGTGCCAAACACCGTTTTAGCCACCCTCTCTATATGTGACGCAAATTTCAAAGAATTACATACATGAACCCCGAGGTCCCTCTGTTCTATAACCCTACCCAAGGCCCTATTATTAATTGTATAAGCCCTACCTTTGTTTGTTGTACTAAAATGCAATACCTCACATTTATCCAGATTGAACTCCATCTGCCATTTTTCAGCCCATTGACCCATTTGAATCTTAGAAAACCTTCTCACTGACTACTGTACCACCAATTTTGGTGCTGTCTGCAAACTTACTAACCATGCCTTCTATATTCTCATCCAAATCAGTTAGATAAATTTGGAGCAGATGGGACTTGAATCCCGGGCCTCTCGTCTCAGAGGCAGGGTCACCACCACTGCCCTACAACAGCCTTCATTTCCATGTTTTAAGTACAGTGCAAAATCAGGTGTTTTCCTTCACCTTTGTCATTTACTGATACATCCGAATCTGTTGCCTCTGTTTCAAACCCAATCCAATCCCAGCCAAGAGTCCCCAGACATTATCATGATTCACTGAGGTAGTTCACTGGAAGTCAGGCCCCAGTATTCCAGGAGTTATAAAAAAGAGTTAAAGTTTTTGTTTGAAAGAAAGACACAACATCCCCAAACTATCTGATTTTCAGATCCAGGTTTCTCGTATTTAATAAGAAATCACTATTCATTTCAAGTCATTAGGTTGTAGCTATAGATAAGCGATTTAGCTAAATTACAAACAACTTTCACTCTAAGCAGTGTGTGCAACCACTCCAATGTTCAGCACATGGTGATCAGCACTAACACGTTAATTGCTGCATTAACTTCTGGTTCAGGAAGATGGTCTTGCACTCAGACCTCAAGGCCTGTGCAGCCAGTAAGAAAATTGGAGGTAACAAGATTTGTAACCTCCCCTTCTGCAAACAGACAGATGAATATGGTTTTCAGAAGGTAGGGAAGCCTTTAAAACCAGCAGAGGATAACTTAAATAAAGCAATGGGAGTGGATAGGGGAGATAAAATGTGAGGGTGAACTAGCTAGTAATATAAAAGAAAATTGCAAGAGATTTTTTATAGATATCTAAAAGTCAAGAGCGAGGCAAGAGTGGACATAGGACCACTGGAAAATGAGACTGGCGAAGTAGTAACAGGGAACAAACAAATGATGGAAGAACTGAGTAGGGACTTTGCATCAGTCTTCATGGTGGAAGGCACCAACAATGTACCAGAACTTTGAGAATCAGGGGACAGAGGAGATAGCTGAGGGAATGGTAGAGGCATTGGTGGTGATCTTTCAGGAATCACTAGAGTCAGGGAGGGTCCCAGAGGACTGGAAAATGGCTAACATAACACCACTGTTTAAGAAGGAAGGGAGGCAGAAGACAGAAATCTATAGGCCAGTTAGCCTGACCTCAGTCATTGGGAAGATTTTAGAGTCCATTAATAAGCATGAGATTGAAGAGTACTTGGTAGTGCATGGTAAAATAGGGCTGAGTCAGCACGCCTTCATCAAGGCAAAGTCATGCCTGACAAATCTTTTGGCATTCTTTGGGGAAGTAACGAGCAAGTTAGACAAAGGAGAACCAGTGGATGTGATCTATTTGGATTTCCAGAAGGCCTTTGACAAGGAGCCACACAAGAGGCTGCTAAATAAGATAAAAGCCCATCATTTTAGGGGCAAGATACTGACATGGATAGAGGATTAGCTTACTGGCTGAAGACAGAGAGTGGGGATAAAAGTGTCTTTCTCAGGATGGCAGGCGGTGACTAGTGGAGTTTCACAGTGCTCAGTGTTGGGACCACAGCTATTCAAGTTATATATTAATGATCTGGATGAAGGAACTGAGGGCACTGTTGCTAAGATGAATACAAAGATGGTGGAGGGACAAGTAGTGAAACGGAAGCAGGGACGCTGCAGAAGGACTTGTACAGGCTAGGAGAGTGGGTCAAAATATGGCAGATGGAATACAAGGTGGGAAAGTGTGAGGTTGTGTACATTGGTACGAAGAATAGAGGTGCATGCTATTTTCTAAACAGGGAATGCTTTTGCAAATCTGAAGCACAAAGGGTCTTGGGAGTCCTCGTTCAGGATTCTCTTAAGGTTAACATGGAGGTTCATATGGCAGTTAGGAAAGCAACTACAATATTAACATTCATTTCAAGAGGGCTAGAGGACAACAGCAGGGAATGTACTGCTGAGACTGTATAAGGCTCTGGTCAGATTGCATTTGGAATGTTATGAGCAGTTTTGGCGCCCATTTCTAAGGAAGGATGTGCTGGCATTGAAGGGAATCCAGAGGAGATTTACAAGAATGATCCTGATTATGAAGGGTTTGTCTAACGAGGAGTGGTTGAGGACTCTGGGTCTGTACTCCATGACGTTTAGAAAGATGATGGGGGATCTCATTGAAACTTAGAATGTTGACAGGTTGGATAGAGTAGATGTGGACAAGACGTTTCCACCAGTAGAAGAGAGACTACAACCTGAGGACATGGCCTCAGAGTTGAAGGGATGACATTGTTGGCATCCATGCCCTCTGCGGCAATGAGGCAAAGTCATCGAATGTATTTAAGACAGAGATAGATATGTTCTTGATTAGTAAGATTGACAGTTATGGGGAGAAGGCAGCAGAATGAGGTTGAGAAACTTATCAGCAATGATCAAATGGTGGAGCAGACTCAATAGGCCAAATGGCCTAATTCTCTCCTATATTTTATGGTCTCATGTACAAACAGGGGTTTTAAAAGAACATAGGGAGGGAGAACTAGAACATAAGTTTGGTAGTCTTTGTTCACAAGATTTTGTGGTTGCTTCTTCCTGATCTGAAGGTTTCTTCTTGACCTTCCTTTTTTCCCGAATGCTTCCACTGGTTTGTAAGAGACACCGGGTGGCTAGTTCATTCATGAAAGGTCTCTGACTTAAAAATTCAATTCAAAATCTCAACTTGTGGCTTTTAAAGTCATAGAGTCATAGCGCTGTACAGCATGGAAACAGACCCTTCAGTCCAACTCGTCCATGCCGACCAGATATTCTAAATTAATCTAGTCCCAATTTCCAGCATTTGGCCTGTTTTGCCTCTAAACTCTTCCTATCCATATACCCAGCCAGATGCCTTTTAAATGTTGTAATTGTACCAGCTTCCACCACTTCCTCTGGCGATTCACTCCATATATGCACCACCCTCTGTGTGAAAAAGTTGCCCAATAGGTTCCTTTTAAACTTTTCCCCTCTCACCTTAAACCTATGCCCTCAAGCTTTGGACCCCCCCCCCCTCCACCTCGGGGTAAAAACCTTGTCTATTTACTATCCATGCCCTTCTTGATTTTATAAACCTCTATAAGGTCAGCCCTCAGCCTCCGACACTCCAGGGAAAATCACCCCAACCTATTTAGCCTCTCCCTATAGCTCAAACCCTCAACTCCTGGTAAGATCCTTGTGAATCTTTTCTGAACCCTTTCAAGTTTCACAACATCCTTCCTATAGCAGGGAGATTTTGCTGAAAGAAAGATAAGTTGGTTTCTTCAGGTTTAAACTGCCTTACTGTAAAGAACTGAGAGAATCTGCTGGTTTCCGTTCTGGTCTGACTATTTTTTCTCTGTTTTGTTCACAGCCCATGGCTGTTCAGTAACAACCAGTCACATGGTTTTTGGGAGGCAGAGGATCTTTATCATTGCTGGCCACTTGTAAACAACCCTTCCACTCCAATTTGTCTGCACATTGCTGGAACCCACAACTACACAAACAGAGTTCACAATAGGGGTCAAATTCTATGCTTTCAAAACATGCAATGACCTTTCTAAATTCCTGGTTTAAAACAGTTATTTTTCATTTCAATCCACAGTTTTAAAACGCACTAAAAAATTTTTAAAAGGCACGGTCTTTACAATTTCCATTGTAATTTTTTGCTCTGTATTTCTGTCATTTAAAACGGAGAAAGAAACAACTTAGATCCACCACAGGAAGTGATGCAAATAACCTGCTTTGGCACAGCTTCAAGGTAGAGGTTCAAATCTTGCAGATGACAGATTGTTTGTTTGCTTTTTCAGACAGTATGCTCTTAGACCTCCAAACTGGTGTACCTGTCCTAGGTGCACTTTGGGCAAATTGCACAGGCGACTATATTGGTGAAGCTGTTAACATTGGTTTCTCACCAGTACTGTTAAAAGGGATCATAAACTATTTTGTTAGGTTGTTGGTCAATTACTTTTAACTTTTGCTTTGATTCTATAAGTAATTCATACTTTTTATTGCTGTCTACTGTTGAAGACATTTACCAGGGAGTGGTAGACAGATGCTAAAGGAGTTTTTACTTATTTCAAGATTTCTGCATAAGTCAGTTGCTCTCAGATATGGATACACTGGTAGACATTCCCCTTGGAATGCAGTATTGCTTTGAGACTGAATAGAGATCAATGGTGAGGAAGGCAAGCTGCAAGAAGGGGGTGGAGGTGGTGGTGAACGTTTAGCAGATTGTTCAATGAGTAGAGCCATAGAGTCAAACAGCATGGACCCAACCAGTCCATGCCGGCCATAATCCCAAACTAAACTAGTCCCACCTGCATGCGCTTGGCCAATATCCCTCCAAACATTGCTTATTCAACATTGTAACTGTACCCACATGCACCATTTCCTTTGGAATTCATTCCACACACAAACCACTCTCTGTGTAAACAAAAATGCCCTTTATGTCTTTTTTAAATCTTTCTCCACTCACCTTAAAAATATGCCCCCAATCTTGAAATCTCCCACCCTCAGGAGAGGACACCTGCCATTCACCTTACCTATACCCCTCCTGATTTTGTAAACCTCTGTAACGTCACCCCTTAACCTCATATGTTTCAGTGAAAAAAGTCTCAGCCTCTCCTTATAACTCAAAGCCTCCATTCCAGGCAACATCCTGGTAAATCTCTTCTGAGCCCTCCCCAGTTCATAATATCCTTCCTATAACAGGGTGACCAGAATTGGACACAGCACTCCAGAACAGGCCTCACCGAAGTCCTGTACAACCTTAACATAGTTTTGCTAACTGAACCTTAGTGACGCCCAATGTCTCTACACCTCAGTAATGAACCTGTCGTTGAAAAATGCCATCTGTTTTAGTTTGAACTGCCTCTTAGGGGCACTGCATGGTATACCTCTGATTGCGTACCATCTTGCTTTATTGAGAGAGAGAGAAAGGGGCGTATCAATCAGTTTGGCTGCTATGGCTGGTGTGATGTGAATAGCTGGCAGTTTGTCCCAGCTTTGAGATGTTGAGGTTTGCAGCTGTGCCACGTGTATGAGTTAATTGCCAGTTAAAACCCTGATTCTTGCAGAATTAGCTGTGGGAAGGTGTTTTGATTAGGCTCGGTAGATATTTGTGAGTGCTAGAAATGTGTGTGCAACATTGCCAAATGAAAGCAGATTCTCTACTAAATTGTGATGGTCTATACAGCTGAACAGCCTGTTAATCAGGCCCGCATTTAATTGTAGCTTGGGTCAGGTAATGAAGGGAATGTGTGGAACTTCATGTTTTCACAAAAAGTAAAGGAAGAGACTCTGAGGAAGAAAACCATTGTAAAATATCCACACTGTTTGAATGAAAAGGAGTACTATATATTAGCTGCTGTTTATCATCTTAGCAAGCATCATGTCTATAAAGACTATAAGCTAAAAAAATGAAGTTGAGTTTCTTAGTAGCCTCACTAGGGAGAGCAGGAAAGTAGAAAACATTCTAACAGGATTTTTTAAAGAAAATCTTGCTGTACATTTTTTAAAAATTGAGCTGAAACATTGAAAATTGATCATTTACAGCTACTGTTGACCATATTTCAAGCGCACAGGATGCAATAACATACCTGAGCAGATTTGTAAATCCTACATTGTTGTCTGGACTGACCGAACTCTGCAAACAAAAACCCACAGACCCTATCGTAAGTACTGGTGAGTTAATGAATTATGTACATGTGTTGAATGCTTGTAGAATCATTCCTATTCACCTAGAATTTTTTTATTCTACTTAAACTGGACATAAAGAATAATTTTCAGTAATTTAAACCCTGTTTAAATGCAACTCTTAATACTAGATTTTTACACTATTATAAGGTCTGCATTATCTTGGTCTGTTGTAAATTGTTGTAACAATGTTTTGCTGCAGTATTTCTAGCCTCTGACCTGCTCTTGTAGCCACTGTATTTATATGGCTAGTTCACTTCAGTTTCTGGACAATGGTAATTCCCAGGCTGTTGATAGTGGGGGATATAATGGTGGCAATGCCATTGACATTAATTTGCAAATCCTCTCTGGACACACGAGAGGTGCCAGAGGAATGAAGAACAGCTAATCTGGTAACATTATTTGAGAAGGATGGTAGGGATAAACCAGTGAACTATGGGCCAGTGAAGCTAACATCAGTGGTAGGGAAACTACCAGAAAAACATTCTGAGGAACAGAATCCATCTCCACTTGGAGAGACAAGGATTAATCAAGGATAGTCAGCATGGCTTTGTCATAGGGAACTCATGTCTGTCAGTTTGAATTAGTATTTTGAGGAAGTGACTAAATGTATGGATAAGGGTAGTGCAATGGATATAGTCTTCATGGACTTCAAGTTTTTTAACAGGTCTTGTGCATGAGACTGGTCAAGAAGAGTCCATTGGTCCCAATGCAATTTGACAAATTGGATCCAAAATTGACTTTGTGGCAGAAGGCAGGAGTGATGGGTGAAAGGTATTTCCGTAACTTGTGTTTAGTGGCATTCCACAGGATTCTGAATTGGTGTTTGTTGTGTACATTAATAATCTAGATGTGAATATCAGAAATGTGATCAGTAAGTTTACAGATGACATGAAAATTGATGATGGGCTGACCAGATGGATTGAACAGTTTAATCCTGAGAGGCATGAGGTGAGAGGACTAACAAGGCAAGGGGGTACAAGAGCAGTGAGGTTGTGATGTAGATGCACATGATGTTAATTAGGCCATAACTGGAGTACTGTGTGGCGTTCTGGTCACCACACTATAGGAAAGATGTGACTACATAAGGGAATGAAGGAGAAATTCACTAGGGTATTGCCTTGGCTGTGTGATTCAACTTGTTTTCCTCAGAGCAGAGAAGGCTGAGGCTGATTGAGGTGCACAAAATTGTGAGGGGTGTAGATAGAGTAGACAGGAAGAAACTTTTCCCCTTAGTGGATGGATCAAAAATCATGGGGGCATAGATTTAAGGTAAAGGGCAGGAAATTTAGAGGACATTTAAGAAAGAACTTTTCACCCAAAGGGTCATGAGTATTTGGAACTCACTGTCTGAAAAGGTGGTAGAGGCGGGAACCATCAGAACATTTAAGAAGCATTTCGATGATCATTTGATGTGCCCTGAGCTACAAAACCACAAATCAAGCACTAGGAAATGGGACTAAAGAAGAGAGATACTTGATAACTGGCATCGACATGTTGGCCATTAGGATGCTTTGTATACCAGATGCAGTAGGAAATGCTACTCTGAGATTAGATTAACTTAATTTTTTAGGAATAGTAGAGAGAGATTTAAACTGATCCACCCCAAAATAGGAAAACTAGATGCTAAAGTGGTTTGGAAATGGCTTCATTGGCTAGCACATGCATACATCATATTAATATCTGTGAAGGGTAATAATGGTTTAAAGAATGAAGTAGATTTTCATTTTAATATAATTGTATAAACTTTATTTTCTCCCACAGACTTGGCTTGCAGATTGGTTGCTTGAAAACAATCCAAACAAACCACACATCCGTGAAGGTATAGCAGAAGAGCAATGAAAATGGCTACTCTCACGGCCAGAAGGACAGGTGTTGGAAAAGCAAAGAGCACCTTTTTTAAAAAAAATCAGGAAAAGTGTGCTACGACGATAACTTAATCACTGTAAACCACTGATGATTCAAGTTTTCAAATGATTCTGGACAAGGCTGTCAAACTTATGCATTATATGGTGTAACCCTTTACCTTGAAGTAGATAACTTATGAAATCCTAGGGACTTGCATAGAGAATAAAGCTACAGGATCCTACAGTTTTTAAACAAATAAAATCAATGTTAATATGGAAAGTTGGAAAGGTAACACAATGTACAATATATTAGAGTATAAGTTGTAAATGTACAGAATTAGCACAGTAAATTTGGGTTAGCAGATAAACTGTGCATAAACAGCAGAAGCAGACAACACTGATCCCATGGATCGCTCAGCAACCCAACAAGTGACAACATAGATCACTAAATATTGTTTAAAATATTGGCTTCATCACAGGAGCTTTCAAATCTTTACATTGACGATCTAGCCCCTGCCCTTTTTAAAGCCATTCCAACTCAGACTGCCTCATCAACTGATCACCACCCAGTGGTTCAATCACGTCCCCTGAGACAGTGTTGCACTGGATTTCTGAGGCTGTATTCTAGCACCGACTTACAGGTATAGTTCCACCTCTTTTGCCGATAGCTCCATTAAGATGGCACTTGTTCTATATTTCTATGACCTCCTGCTCCAGGGCTGCACCAAGCAAGTACTGCTCATAAATATCTGGAGCCCCAAATCTCATTTGCAGTAACAATCCACAAAGCTTCTTCAGAGTCCGAACCGTCTCTGTATGAAACAACTCCAGTAATTTTTCCTGAGTCCTAACTACGGAGAGCTGCCAAACAGTTCCTGAGCCTTCAGTGAGTCCCCAGCAGCATTTTAAGCATGTGGAGCCATATTCTCCTAATCCTTCTTTACCACTGACTAAAACGGATTCTTGAACTGCTGTTCACTTACTCTCGTACTGATTTTAGTAACATGTTAAGGCCCTTGAAATAAACACTGTCCTTGTTCCTGGCAAGATGATAGATAATGAGCAGTGAATGTTGTAATCCCACCAGGCTGCTTACTACTTCTATGAAGGGAGGAAAGGGTAGGGGTAAACAGGAAGCGAAGGAGGGAGAGCATGAGGGGAGGGGGTGGTGGGCAGAGTGTATGGGAGAGCAGGGAGTGTGGGAGAGGAGCAGGAATATGTCGGGGTGGGAGCAGTGTGGGAAGGAGACAGAGTGTGGGAGAAGGAAGGAAGTGCAGAAGAGGGCATGGAAAGAGGGAAGGGAGAGTGGGTGTGTGCAAGAGAAAGAAGCTAAGGGTGGAAGAAGTGTGGGAGATGGGGGTAGGAAAGGCAGGGAATGTAGGTAAAGGGGTAGGGAAGTGTGATAGTGTGGGAGAAGGGGGCAGGAAAGGGAGGGAGTGTGGGGGAAGGGGAAGGGAGATTGTGGGAGGGAGAGGGTGGGAGGGAAGGTAGTATGGGAGGGAGGGTGGGTGAGGGAGATAGTGGGAGGAGAAGGGAGTGTGGGAGAGGGAGAGAGAGGAAGTGAATGGTAGGGGAGAGGGTGTGAAGGAATCACAGAGGCATTGGCAGAAGACTGGTGGACATCCAAGGTGGTACTGCTGTTCAAGAAAGGAGTGCAGCATTAACTAAGAATTTACAATCTAGTCAGTAACCTCCAGTGGGGAAGTAATTCTTAAGGACTGAATTAATTTGCATTTGAAGAGGTGGGGATTAATGAAGAGCAGTCAACATGGTTTTGCTAAGGGGAGGTCATGTCTGACAAACATGATTGCATATTTCAAAGAGACGATCAAGTGTGTAAATGAGGGCAATGCATTTGACATTGTTTACTTGGATTTCAACAAGGCTTTTGATAAGGCCCTGCATGGGAGACTGAAAGCAAAAATATGAAACCATGGGATCCAAGAAAATTTGGCTAATTGGATCTAGAATTGGCTGTGTGGCAGGAAGCAAAGAGTGATAGTTGAGGGGTGTTTTCATGGCTGGAAGACTGTCCAGTTGGGTCCCACATGGATCGGTATTGGGGTCTTTGCTATTTTGTGGTATATGTAAATGAATTAGACTAGAATGTAAAAGGATTGATCAGTAAATTTGCAGATGATACAAGAATTAGTGTGATGGTAAATAGTGAGGAGGATAGCATAAGATTACAGGAGGATGTTGTTGGGCTGATCAGTGGCAATGGCAATGGAATTCAATCTGAATTAATGTGAGGTGATGATGCAGTTGGGCAAGGCAAACAAGGCAAGGAAATACATGATGAACGGTCAGACCCTGGGACTGAGGATCAAATAGGGACCTTAATGTGTAAGTCCACTGGTCCCTTAAGGTAGTGGAAGGGTAGATAAAGTGGTGAAGAAGGCTGACTGGATACTTGTCTTTATTAGCTGAGGCATAGAGTTTAAGAGCAGAGAAGTTATGATCAAACCGTATAAAATATTGGTGAGGCCATAGATATTGTGTGCAGTTCTGTTATCTATGTTATGGGAGAGATGTGATTGGTCCGGAGAGGGTGCAGAGGTGATTTACCAGGATGTTGCTTGGGTGGAGGATTTTAGTTCTGAAGAGAGATTGGATAGCCTGGGGTTGTTTTCCTTGGAGCCGAGTTCACAGAGGGGAACGTGATTAAGATCGTAAAATTATGAGGGGCACTGATATGGTAGACAGTAAGGAAAAATGACACTCTGCTCCATCTCCATCATACTCAAGGTGGAATGTTGCACAAAAAAAGCTGCAACTATCCATAGTGTCACTTGACTCCTAGCAGTCAACTGGATTGGCAGAGCTTGTTACCACCAGCCTGGGTCCTTTGACCACCAAATTGTCAAATAAGTAATTTTAAGACAGCCCCATTCCTCCCTGCTGCAGAGGGATAATGTACAATGTTTAAAAACCTTGATATTAATGCTCAGAATATTTGGGAATAATCAGAATTGATTAACATTGACTCCAAAATGTTTCCGCCCGGTTTCGAACCGGGGACCTTTCGCGTGTGAGGCGAACGTGATAACCACTACACTACGGAAACTGTGATGGACTAATCCTCGCTGACAGTCATTTTGTTAAGTTGCTTAGATTCGGCTTTTGTTTATTGCTGATATGTTTTTGATCGTTGGTTTCAATTTATTGATGAGTTAAATTGAGGCCCTCACAGATAAAATCTCCATGTTTTATCTAAAACCGAATAACGACAGCAGTTTCGCAATTTAAATGAAAAGGACTGAGTGGGCTTTTCAGCGAACATTTAGAGTCTCAGACCATTACTCATTCTGTCTTTCCTCACCTGTCCCCACTCACTGAATTCATTTGAAACCATTACAAAACACTGAATTAAAATTGTTTTCCCGACTGCTATCCGCCCGCTGAGAAGGAAAACTGTTTCCGCCCGGTTTCGAACCGGGGACCTTTCGCGTGTTAGGCGAACGTGATAACCACTACACTACGGAAACCACATGGTTAGCAGCTTCTGGTATCTTCAATTCGATCCAATCTACAGCTGGTAGTCCCAGGTTCGTCACTGTGACCCCGTGACCGGAAAGCCGGGGCTCGAGCCTTTTTTTCTAACGGTCGCTGCAAGTGGTGCTTAACGGCTGGAGAGCATTGTCCTGTTACATATCTCCGATTCCCGGGCTCACGAATCTTTCCACTTGACACTACAGTCTTTGCTTCTGGGATGCATAGTCGTTATCGATTCCCATTTTCTCTACCAATTACATTTGTTTGTTTTTATAAATGGTATCTCAACAGAATTATTCAGGTGTAAATTCCACCTGCCGCTGTGGTATTACTTTCCCCATTGTGTGTGAGCTTTCTTTGGGAAGGCGGTTTTCCCCCTCACTGAGTCCAGAAGCAGGAGTGAGAGAGGAGTGCAGAGCCTGCGGGTCCGCATGTCAGCATCGAATTATATATGAACAGCGGCGGAATCAGGGGCGTAATACCGGACAAGGAAGCCTATTAAAGTTAGCAGGAGAGAAGTTACCCTCAGAAACCTTTTCAGTTTTATGGTCACCCCGTCATACTAGGTTGGTGATGAGTAATCGCTATCCATTGTAAAAATGTTAAATCGTCAGTTGTATCTGTTTATTTAAGTTGTTGTTTACCAGTTAAATCAGTGTATTTTACAGCGTAGAATCGGTCACTTTGCCCCTTACACCAGCGTTGGCCCATTGAAAGAGCTCTGCACGCTGTCCCGCATTTTTGGGACATCTACAGGGGTGTCTTTTCCGAGTGTTAACGTCGCTCGTCGACGTTTTGTAAACCTCTGCTAGCGAACCGCTGGTGTTAACTGAGGACGTAACTAAATGTCGTACAGAGAAGAGCTAAAAGTTCAAAATTCACCCGTAAGGATGGTCACCACACTTGAGACATAGAACTTGAGAGCCGTTCTGGTTAATTATCGAGCACTTTACATCATTTGATGTGCCTAATGTTGCAATACCTACCACCATTACGTACACACATTTCTACTAAACAATAATAATAACCAATTAATTTTTTTTTAAATAATGCTCACCGCCAATTAAGATCTACTGCGCAGATGCCACAGTCAATAAGTCCTCAAACAAAATACCACACGCTGGTACTATCGGGTAGGTGTTTGACATTCATGACCAAAGGCCAGACAGGTAATACCATCCATGTTACCTGTTATTAAAAAAATGTAAGAGTCCAAGTATCAGGGAGATGGTAAGTCTTGATACATCTTCTGTGAAAGATTAAGTAATTGTATTCCAAGGAATAACATACAACCCAACCAGTCCGTAGGATAATGTATCACAACTTCATTCGTTGCCATCCTTTAACTTGTTAATTCAATAATGACAGATTCAGCATAAATTATCATGTCATTAGTTTCGTTACTAGTTGTACAGTCGGCATCATCAGTCGATGATGTATAAGGTTTCTGACTTAATGGTGTTATAAGTAACCATAGGGTGAACTGCCTAAACAGTCTCTTCTGTAATAGGTTTGCCTTCCTCTCCTAGTCTAACTGGCCCCACTAGACTGACTTCCGGGCCCAGGTCTGTGTAGGAAATATATAAAAATCTCTTGGTCTCTCATCTATTTCCTCAGTGTGTGTGGAAACGGACTTCTCAGCATTGGTGACAATAGAAGCATTTTGCACAGGCCGCTGTAACAAACGCGTCTGTGGGGAGGTTTTTTTTTCCAGGATGCATCCCAACCGTACTGATGTGAGTCATTTAGATACTCCATTTCATCGCTCTGGGGGTTTGACACCTAAATGTCCTGATTCATGCAGATGTACAGCCATCTCATGATAGTTCTTACAATGCCTTTTGACCAGCCAGTGGCAAGGCCACTGCTGTTTCTGGTCGGGCCAGCAAGGTGGCATGACTAACACTGTGGCAGACAAAATCACAGTAAAAGTGACTAATTTGGCTCAAATAGTTATTAATATCTTGTTACAACTATGAGATTTTAAAGTTCATTATGATTTGGAATTGTATCTTTAAATTTAGGATAAACAAAAGGGTTCATGTGACCTGTTCTGGAGTCTACTTGTCAGACTTAAATTCAGGTTACAGGTTTCCTTACAAATCAGTGTGTATCACAGACATGGTATTGTTCTGTGAGGTTGTCAACAAGTAAAGAATTCTTGACTTTGCAGTCTACAAAGGGTAGATGTGAAAGTGTCTGGTCAAAGAGTTGCATCCTGTAGGTTTCAGTGGATTCTGGAAGATTTGTTTTGGCACTGCTGGAGAAGTAAAATAATCTGACCAGGGTTTACTACTAGTGTTGGATTTAAACAACTCCAAAAACTGAGCACCACATTGTAAGTGGTCGCTGAAAGCATCTACTTGATGAAAGGGGACATGGAAAGGTTGGGAGCTGGCCATTATAGACTACTTGTAAAAAGGGCTGTATTTCCATGGAGAGTGCATTTGGTTTTAAAAATACATGAGGGATGTTACTTTATGTAGTTTAAAATATAAATTGTTTACAAAAAGAACATACTATTTAGTCCATTGGGCTTTTAACCATTT